GCCTTGGCTCAGAGGTCTGGCTCCAGCACGGTGAACTGTATGGAAGAGGGAACTATTTCGTGCACGTGGGACGTTTTGAACCCTTAAATCATGTCACATGAAAGGCTAGCACACTGTCCTGCATATGAAACAAGTTCAGGACTGGCCTCTAACATAGCAAGCAGTTAAGCATCATGCATAAAAGGCCAGATCCTGCATGACTGACCATGGTTCAAATCCTAACCCCAGTGGCTTGAAAAACATGCCAGTGCCTGGGAACCAGCAGTTAGCGTAATGGCTATGTCGCTGGACTCCCACGTAGTTGACCGCGGTTCGCGTCCCGGACCCAATGGCTTAAAACTCACGCCGGGCACGTGTGCATGCGTGCCCAAGATCCCGAGAGGAGAATGGAGAAGGGATTGCGGCGTGACCATCCCCTCTGGGGGGTGATTTCTCACTTTTTGTTTCTATGTCTCTCTCTGTCTGGCGAGCGCTAGCGAAAATCTCTCTAAAAAAAAAAAAAAAATACCAGTGCCAAAAAGAAAAGAAAAGAAACATGTGCAGAACTCACCGTCATTTAGGAGAGTGTCTGTCGAATGGATATTTTTAAATGGAAACAGCATAAAAGTTACTTCTCTTATGCTTTGGATACTGAACGGCTCCAATTAAGGATGGATATACCCAATGCCTTTGCACCTGTTACGCTTTGAACACAGGCTTCTATGCACGCGCCTTTACTGACTTGGGGAGGAGCTGATTTCGAACCAAACAGTTCAGCTACCCAGGAAAGAGGAAGCTATTCAATTTCCCCCACCTCACCTCCTTCTCACTCGGTCCACAAAAGCTCCCTACGCAAAGAAGAGGCTATTTTCTTTCAAGCTTTATGCTCCATCTTCCCTGTGGCAAGAAAGGTGATTGGATATCGGGATTTTTAATAGGTTTGTCTGAAATCCATTTACAGTGAAGCTGAACTGTCAACAAGACTGGTATTGAGTGGAGTAGGTGTTAAGTGGAAATGAACTTGAAACAAGAGAGGGGGTTAGTAATCCCCACTGATCACTTGGGAGGGTGGATGAAGTGCCCCTGACCTGGTCCAGAGAAGAGTAGGACTATGGGAATGATCCCTACCGTGGTTTGTACAAGTCCTCCTAAAAGCCAGCTCTTCAAAAGTGCTGCAGGTCATTCCGTTGCTTTAGTAAGCTGGCCTTTCCATTATGGCTGTACAATTGATTTGTTCCGCAAACCTTTTTTTTTTTTTTTAATGTCTAGAGAAAAATCTTAGCTCCTCTCGTTTGAGCTATTCACCACGTCTGAAAGCCCTGGGTTTTGGCACATTTCGAAACAGAGCCCCCGATACATAAATCCTGCCATGGCTAGTTCCGCTGTATTTCACTCCCACCCTCACAAGGCTCTGGGCAATACGCAAGCAGCCGAGGGTCTGAACATTCGAGCGTGTTCATTCCAACCCACAGTGCTTGGAGGGCCCCTCCCTGAGCTCCCCCCTCACCTGGGTTGCTCTGCTTTCCACTCCTGGAGGACCCTTGAGCACAGCCATACCTGAGTGTCATTAAGACCCTCTAGGATGAAAAGGGCCTTGATTATTTAGTGCTGCGGGTCCTTAGGGGAGCCCCGTGCACACACGCACTCACCTGATTCTCGGTTTATGCTGTGTGGTACCTATGGGAGAAGTCAGAGGACGCGAACGCTCCAATGGCATCTCTCCTGTCTCTTCTCCCCTCCCCTGCCTGCTGTGGTTGGTTGTGGAGATTTTTCTCTCTGATTTTTGTTTTGTTTTGTCCCTGGTTGGTGCTAAAGATTCTTTCTTCCCCATCTTGTCTACTTCATGTCTATTTTCTGTGTAGATAGCCACTGCTTTCTTTTCCATAGTGGTTTTTCTTTTAGTCATGCTAAAATGCATGCACACCTATGTGAGGGAGGGGAGGGAGACAAAGGGACAAGAGAGAGCGAAGCACCCTCCACAGGGTCTGGTCACGCCGCAAGCCCCTTTCAGCCCTCCAGCCTACTGGACCTTGAGCACATGCCCACATGCTTCTGCCTCATTACCTCTGTCAGGGAAATAACCAAGTTCTGTAGAAACAATTACGATGTTTAGTCACAGTGAGGCGACCAGGGGCCATGGCCCAGAAACACAATTCCTGGTAGCCCTGAGAAAGCATTGCCATCTAGGAGTGGTGGGGAAAGGTCTCGGGTTATGTGCGTGTCCATGCCTATTACCAGGCCAGTGGGGATGGAGGTGGGGCAGGTGCAGGGCACAGGGAGAGATGGCTGCCTGAGACATTCCTGTCGGCTAAGGCTCCCAGAGAAATGAGCCATGGCGAGAGTGGGGGAAGCTGAAGGCACTTGGCGCCTGTGGTGGATTGTAGTCAGGGAGTTGAGCAGCTGTCTCAGAGCCTGGCTTCATCAGGAGTTCCGGGGTGGCTGCAGAAGAAGGCTGGGGTCACAGACCCCCATCAGCATGCAGGAGGCTTGCCACTGGACCAGGCTTCTGCTCAGGGCAGCAGGACCCGGGACAGCCAGCAGAGCTGGGAGGCTGCAGACGCCAATAGCCAACGGGGAAGCGGCGAGTGGAGAAAGATCCCAGAGTCCACAGCCACCCCTACTCCGACCAGCGGGGGCCTTCCTGCACTTTCATAGCCCCAGCTGTAAAATGGAACCAGTGGCCTTCGGCCTACCTACTTCATGGTGCTGCTGAGAGGGTCACATGAGAGGTTTTACGAACTCGCTTCATCCCAGGGCAAGCCCTGAGCCTGGGTGGGGGCATGTTTGTGAGTCAAATGCTGTGACGACCACCAGCAGGTGGAGGAATTCTCATTGTCTAGGTCTGACTCTAGGGTTTCCTTTTCCCCCATGCAGGGCAGTCCTTCCACTCCCGGGTCCTGGAGAACTGTGAGGACGTGGCTGACTTCGATGAGGTAGGAGGCCCAAGAACCCTCTCTCGCAGACCTTCACCTTCACCCCCAAGCCCAGAGGGGAACAAGCTCCCTCCCTGCCTCCTGCCTCTCCACTGTGCTGGCCCCGAAGCCCAGGCCCCTGGCTTACTCAGAGCGCCTCATTTCTCAGTTGCTTCCTGGGAGCAGGTTGGGTGGAAGGATATGGGGGAGCCTGTCTGTTCCCTCTAGAGATGGGACTCACAGGTGCTATAGGCCTGAGTACCAGCTCTCTGCTGAGGGCCAACAGGGGGGGGGCGGGTTCCATCCCTGGTGTTAGCCCTCAGAGGACCCAGGCTAACTACTGGGGCTTTAAACAGTGCCAGCCTCACACAGACCTTGCCCCTTTGTAAGAGCCATTGGTGCACCTCCCACCTCAGCCACGGGAACCTTGCTGGGATGGAGACACTAGGACACACACACGCACATGAGCGCGCACACACACACACACACACATGCATGTATACATAGTACTTACCCTAAAAGCTTTTTTGCTTTTGAACCACGGCTTAGAGGGTTAACCATATAAATCATTTGCCTCAATTCACGGTACATTGTCCCGTCAGTCCCTACTACTAGGCCCCACTCTTGTGTACATATGTACATGTATGATGTATGATGTGTTCTCTTTGACCCCCATTCTCTCCCTCCATTTACGACCATTCTAACGTTACAGTATGAATCTTTCGGTTGCCTATACATGACTGCAAAACTTGTGCTGCCTTATGAGCATATGCTGTTTGTGTACTTAAATGGTGATGTGTTAAATATTTCACTTGTTTCCTACATTTTTTCACCATGCGTGGTTTTTAAGCTCCATCTGTGGGGCTGTGTGAATCCGTCGCTTCTACCAGCTGCATAGCAGAAGCTCAGTGGGACACATTCCATGTATACTGAGGTGACCAGTGACCTTGGTTGGTGTGGGACGGAAGGCGCCCTAGTTCACAGACTCTCAGTTGAAACTGGGAAAGTCCTGGGCTAGCCAGGATGAGTTGGTCACCCTGCACGTGTCACCTGCCCACTCCTCCAAGGAAGGACCCTGGCTTACCTCCAACTTCTCTCTACCAAAATGCAAAGAATATTCTTGCATGTTGTTTTTGGACCTGTGTGCGCCGTCCTCCGGGGTGTACGCCAGGATCTAGAAGCAGCCTTGTGGGACACGCATGCACTTAATCCCACCCGACACTGCCACTCACTTCCACCAGCTGTGCCCACATCCTCCTCTATATCTGCCGTTTTCCAGCTTCCCGATTTTCACTAGTCTTAGTGATATCTCCTCGTCTTAATTTACACTTCCCTGATTACTAATGGGTTTGAGCATCTTTTGATATACTTTTAGCCTTTTAGTTTCTTCCTCTGTAAATTGCCTGAGCATATTTCCTGCCTTCTTTCCTATTGGGATAGCTGTATTTTTCTTATTGGTTTGTAAGTGTTCTTTGTCTACCTGTAGCACGACCTCTGTTGGGTTTTAATATTGTTAATACCTGCTTCCAGTCTATTATCTATTAACTTGGCCCAGGGTGCTCTCTTTGACTAGGAGTCCTTAATCCTTATGTGCATTCAAGTTTTGTTGAAGGAGCCTTTCCACTCCTCTAACTTATAAATAAATTCTCCTACGTTTTCAGATTTCATAGTTTTATCTTTCACATGGAACATGGTATTAGATCGGGGCTCAGTTTTGTTTTCTATATAAGGAACCACCTTTCCTAATGTCAATTTCTCTCCAGTAAGGACTATTATCTGAGCCTTCTATTCTATCCCACTAGTCTGTGTCTGCTTTTCACCTTGCCACACTGTTCTACTTAATATGGCTCCTTCATATGTTTTAATATCTAGTGAGGCAAGTTCTTTGCCTTTTCTCTTGTGTGTGTTTTTTTTAAGTTGACCTGTATATGGACTTTTATTCTTCCAGATACATTTTAGAGTAAATTTATCAAGTTCTTCCAAAAACCAACTTCCAATTTGTATTTTTTTAGAGAGATTTTTGCTATAGGGCCCATGCACTCCCCAGAGAAAGAGAGAGAGAGACAAACAGACAGAAAGCGAGAAATCATCTCCCCCCCAGGGTGTATGTCACACTGCAATCCCCTCTCCTCTCCTCTCCATTCTCCTCTTGGGATCTTGAGCATGCACACACACGCAGCTGGCATGAGTCTCAAGGTCTGAGACTCAAACCGCTGTCTACTACATGGAAGTTCAGCACTGTAAGCATCACGCCATCTCCTGGCCCCCCAACTTCCAATTTTGATTGACATTGCATTGAACTTAAAGCTGTGTTTAGGAAGATGCGAGGGTTTTATAATACTAAATCATCTATTCAAGTTATCTACCATGCTTTACTGAAGTTTCGAAGTTGTCTACATAGGTCTCGTATATTTATTTTGGCACTTCATGGTTTTGGTGTTACTGTGAATGGTATCTTCTACCTTTTTTTGAAGTTGATTATTGCTGGCATAGAGAAATGCTTTCTAAGTCTCTCTTTTATCTCCCTGCCTTGTCAAATTGTATTGGTTTTCAATGTTTTCCTGTTGATTCTATTTTTCTTATGTATATAATCATATTATCTACAAAAACAAGTGTTTTATTTCTTCCTTTCCAGTTCTTATCAACCCCCCCCCCCATTACTTCTTTATCTTTCCATAAAGCTTTGGCAGTGATCTCTGGTTCCATGTGAAGCAGTCATGGTGCTGAAGGGCATCCTCTTGATGTTTCCTAATACTACAGGAAATGAAGGGATCAAAGGCTGGTTAGCAAATGCAACTGCTGTAGCTAGATTTCACTGTCTCTCCTTGTTTGCTAGGAATTTTTTTGTAAAAGGTCATTCACCTTATCAGAAGCTTTTCCTGTACTGACTGAGGCAATTGTACTTTTGTTCCTTTGTATTTTATAATGTATTAATTTTTTTATTTTACTTTATTTATTTCCATGAGAGAGAGAGCAAGAGAGGTAGGCATTCCCAAGAGAGTCTTCACATCATGACCTACCCCCAGCCTGTCAGCCCAGATCACAGGCCCGTGCGTGAGTGCCCCACACGTACGTAGAGACTCACAACGGGCATGTGCGTGCGTGCCCAAGATCCTGAGAGGAGAATGGAGAAGAAGGGATTGCAGCATGGCCATCCCCTCTGGGGGGTGATTTCTCGCTTTCTGTCTCTCTGTCCCTCTCTGTCTTTCTGGTGAGCGCACATGCCCTAGAGCAAAAACCTTTCCAAAAAAAAAAATTATATGTGTGTGTATATATATATATATATATAAGCTAGAGGTTCTATTATTTACATAAGCTTGACCTTATTAATTATTCTTCAATTTTGCTGCTTATTTTTCTGTTTGATCTGTTTTAGAAATTATTATAATAAAAATCTAAAATTGTAATGGTTGATTTATGTATTTCTTCTTGCAGTTCTGTCAGTTGTTGCTTGAAACTATTGTCTAAATATTCATAATTGCTATAGCTTCCTGTCTGCTTCCCTTTTACTAGTAGATAATATCCCTTTTTTTCCCTTTATGATCTTTTTACCATATTTTCTATTTTTCAGATATTAAAATTGCTGTCTAAACCCATTTTGTTTTATTTGTCTGGTACATCATTTTCAATATTTTAGTTTTTTGGTATTTTTTTCATCTTTTTATTTTCAATACGTTTGGCTCTTTTCATGTGAGTATATCTTCTTGAGGAATCTATTATTAGATCCATGTGCGTGCGTGCCCAAGATCCTGAGAGGAGAATGGAGAAGAAGGGATTGCAGCATGGCCATCCCCTCTGGGGGGTGATTTCTCGCTTTCTGTCTCTCTGTCCCTCTCTGTCTTTCTGGTGAGCGCACATGCCCTAGAGCAAAAACCTTTCCAAAAAAAAAAATTATATGTGTGTGTATATATATATATATATATAAGCTAGAGGTACAATTATTTACATAAGCTTGACCTTATTAATTATTCTTCAATTTTGCTGCTTATTTTTCTGTTTGATCTGTTTTAGAAATTATTATAATAAAAATCTAAAATTGTAATGGTTGATTTATGTATTTCTTCTTGCAGTTCTGTCAGTTGTTGCTTGAAACTATTGTCTAAATATTCATAATTGCTATAGCTTCCTGTCTGCTTCCCTTTTACTAGTAGATAATATCCCTTTTTTTCCCTTTATGATCTTTTTACCATATTTTCTATTTTTCAGATATTAAAATTGCTGTCTAAACCCATTTTGTTTTATTTGTCTGGTACATCATTTTCAATATTTTAGTTTTTTGGTATTTTTTTCATCTTTTTATTTTCAATACGTTTGGCTCTTTTCATGTGAGTATATCTTCTTGAGGAATCTATTATTAGATCTTGTTTTCTTACTCAATGTGAGAGTCTCTATCTTTTTTTTGTTTTTTTGAGAAGTTTTTGCTATAGGGCGTGTGCGCTCGCCAGACAGACAGAGAGAGACATAGAGACAGCGAGAAATCACCCCCCAGGGGGGATGGTCACGCTGCAATCCCTTCTCCTCCATTCTCCTCTCGGGATCTTGGGCACGCGTGCACACTCGCCCGGTGTGAGTTTTAAGCAACCGGGTCCGGGACGTGAACCGCGGTCGACTACGTGGGAGTCCAGCGACATAGCCATTACACTAACTGCTGGTTCCCGAGAGTCTCTATCTTTTAGTTGACGAGTTTTACCCATTTCTACTTACTACAATTGCGAATTATCTTTAGACTTATTTCTACTATCAATTTGTTTTATATTTCCATTGATTGTACTTTTTGTTTCTCTTTTTCTCCTTTCCAGTTTTCCATTTGATAGATGAGATTTTCTCCTGTTTGTAGGAAAGTTATGTTTTATTTTTGTTTTCAAAGTAATGATTAGTAAGTTAAGTCTCCCTATAGATACCTCGCACAAACCAGCACTCCCTGTTTCCCTGCCAGGACAAGCACTTTTCATCCTCTTTTGTGCCTCTTTGATTGTGCCGCTTTAGCCCATCCCCTCATGCTGATATTGTCTATATTAGAA